AGTAGACATATCCAAACTCTTCTCAGATATTTCCTTAAAAGGAAAACTTCGCTGCACAAGATATATTGTAAGAACTGATTAAGATCTGATCAGTAACCAGACAGTGCAAGGATTGTCAAAATGGATAGTGCGGGCTTTCCATGGAGTCTGATTGTAATACCCATTTTGTTATCCGCTGTCAGTGCAACAATCTCGAGAACAACGCCAGGCGCTAACTTATCCCAAGTTTCTCCATCGCAGAAGGCCAGTTGTCAAAACATGTATAATTATAACAATTTTTACCCAGGGTCGAGCAAGAAGATCGAAACCTTGCTTACTGAAGTGAAGAAGGAGTTAATCCGGATGAGAAACGAAATTAAGTCTTTCAAAGAAAACAAAACGACTGCAACAGGTATGTAAAGTACAGTACCCAAATCGCCCGATCATATTTTTATTTTATATGGACTTGAGAGATATTCAACTTGATTTATGAGAAACAAAGAAGGCGAACACAACTTTTCTAATTAGATGGGATCTTTCTTCGGGGCATTGTATGCAAATATTCTTTCCACAAATAGCGTCACTAGAACGAGAAAACTCATGTACAACTGACCCACGCAAAAACAATGTTCAAAAACGTCATTCAACAATAGCGGAAGAATTCGACTGCTTTCACTGAGCTGAGTCGAGTTCAACTGTGAAACTGATAAGAATGCTAGCTCTGGTGTTTCTTTGAGCCTGGTGTATTTGCTGTTTCTTCTTCCCTCACTAAACGCAGCCAACTCTCAAAAAGAAACATACAATGATAACAACTCTGGACTTTCCAACACCCAGTCCAAATGTCACAACGTCTATACTTCCAACAATTTTTACGCAGGACCGAAGAAGAAGATCGAAACACTGCTTCTTGAGGTAAAGGAGGAGATCGGCGAGATTCGAGAGGAAATCAAAACCTTGAAAGAAAACAAAACAGGTGATGACGGTAAGCGAGAGAACCTCTCTTGAGGTATATAACGGTGCTTGGGAAAACAACACACAATGTTTGCTTTTA